CTTTTCCTCTCAAGATTTAGTTATTAAAAATATCAACTATGAGGCAAGAAGGTAATAAAGTCTTCTTAAACCAGTCTAAGCTTAGATAAACAAAACCATTTCCTGACATGACACCAGGATATACTGCCAGCTGTGAGCTTTCTCTCTTTTAAAATATCAGAAGAAAGGATAGGTATCTATTTACATAGGCTAATAAGACTAAGGGGTTGCTGAAGGCCTATTACAATCCTAATTAGTAGTATGGACATAAGGAGTAAAACAGATTGAACTAACCAACACAGAAGAACTTGATGATTTGGCTGTTACAGCTTGGTGGCTTTGGAAATTTATGTTTTATTTGACTTGTAAGCCCTGAAGACTTGTGATTCTAAATAGTCATTCTAAATAGTTCCTATCACTGAGAAACCAGACACTAAACCATCTGTGACAGCTGCAAATTAGAAGAAAAAGTCCACCGCCATGCCCCATTCCAAGTTCGTTCGAGAGAACTGAATTTGTAGGAAGATAAACTTTCCAGAGTAAAGACACATACTACGATCGACCTTGGACTTTTTAATATCACAAGACAGAAGGTGGAAGTGAGGAAGATGCCAGGCAAATTGCTCTGATAGGAATGCCTATCTTGAAAACAAACCACTAAGAAAACACAGCTCCTCTTGCCTACTTTTCAAGAGACGGAGTGCCATAAACTAAGAGGCACTTTTTTTTTTTTTTTAAGATTTTAATTCTAGGAAGAGGTACTTATGGGACAACTAATGCATTCTTCCTTAGCCTTATGGAACACTGATGTTGAGAAGTTGGCATTAAGGAGATGCTATAAAAATCTTTTCCTCAAATTTTTTTGCACTACTGGTGGGAATGTAAAAAAGGTTCAATTGCTACAGAAAACACTACAGCGGTCCCTCAAAAACTTAAAAACAGAATCGCCAAAGGATCCAACAATTATATTTCTGTTATATAACCCAAATAACCTTCGGTCTTGAAGAAATATTTGCACAACCATGTTTAATGAAGCATTATTCACAATAGCTAAAAGATGGAATCAACCCAAGTGTCTCCTGACAGATGAATAGATAAATGAAATGTGGTAGACACATAATGGAACATTCACCTTTAAAAAGGAAGGAAATTCTGACGTATGCTATGACATGGATAAACTTTGAGGACGTTATGTTAAATGAAATGAGCCAGTCACAAAACAACAAATACTTTATGATTCCATTTACATGAAGTACCTAGAGTTGTCAAATTCAGAGACAAAATAGAATGATAGTTGCTACAGTCTGGAGGGAGGGAGAAATAGAGAGTTATTATTTAAAACTTTAGTACCACCTATACCTTATCTGTTCCCTAATGCAAACAGAAGGCAAAATAAATGAACACACAGCATATGAGCATCACTGAAATACTTTGAGATTCACTAGAGCTAGGCTTCATTTGGCAGCTTTGTGAGCACACAAACGCTAAGGGTTGTGATTTTTTTTACACCAGATTTTCTAAGAAAATTTGTTTTATGATACTTTGAAAATAAAAATGTTCCTTAAAAAAACAAACAAACCAAATATACAATGTCCTTTTATCCAGATTTTAACAATCATTATATCAAGGAAGTCTACTTCAGTGTCTGTCAGTTGTGCAAAGGTCAAAGGTCTAATTTAGAGCAAGTTTAATTTCTAGAAGAACAAAAGATCATTGTCTAAGACTTTGTGATAACTAGGACTGCCCCACTGGGAATAAGGATACAGAACCAAAGTTGTTAAAACACTACCTATCTTTATACTGATTTAAAATTTACAAAGCAATTTCAAATACATGACTTCATCTGAACCTTATGATCCACTCCAAAAGACAGGTTTTAGTATCACTAATTTTGAGGAAAACAGAGTTTAAGTGATTTGACCGAAATCTCCCAGCTAGGATCCAGGTCTAGGATCTAAGTAGCAGGAATCCAGGTCTTACAAGTTCAAATCCATTTTCGTGTTTCCCTAAACCTTAAATACAGTTCTCTAGTAGAAGGCTTTACTGATCTGGGAACTATCCTAACAACAAAGAAATGTTCACTGCTTGGCGGGTACGGGCCATGAAAAGGACTGTGTGGAACTGCACAGTCACACAGCACTAAGGCCTCACTTCCTCCCCTGGAAAATGAGATATTACCTGACATACCCAGCACTCAGTGTTATTTGTAGGATCAAAGCATAAAATAAAATGCTAAGTCATTAAAGGTACATATTTGTCAGGAGGCTAACATTTCATGATTCTTATCATTGGGAAGGCTGACTGTGGAAAGTAAGCATGTATGGAAAACACACTAACCAACCAAAAAATCTGACTGGCGCCGATAGTGGCCTGGAAGTAGTGACAAACTGGTTGCTATGAGGGGGCAGGAGGTAGAGGAGACAAATTTGCAGTTTTCTGAAGTACCAGAGACCCTAAACTCTCAGTTCTTCCCTCACTCAGGCATTTCAAGACACTAAGGAAGGATATAGGGGCCTTGGATAAAGAAACTATATAACTGAATGGTGCTATAAGATGAACATTAAAATAAAGAAAATAAAGATACAGTGGTTAACATGCCATATACTTAGCCCAGATTCTGGAGGGTACAATGAAAGGCTGGAGTTGAAGGATGTGCTGAGCCTAGCTACTATAATCATCCCAGAGTTTGGCAGCTTCCTGACACTGTGGGCTATGCCTTCATTTATATTTATATACCTTTGAAGTGGGAGGCCTGGCTGGGGCTTGGCAGAGGCACAGATGGAAGGCTATAAAGCCAGCAGTCTGGTGTTCGGGAGTTGGGACAGAAATGGGCGGTAATGGAAACTCTAAAAGCCTTTCAGCCTCAGGTTTTACTTCATTCTTTCACCCAATCTGCATATATTCATTGAATGCTGACTCTCCCTGGGCAGTATTCTCAGCACTGGCAATATAGTGGTGAAGAAGACAGCAAGGTCTCTCCCTTGGGACAAAGACATTCTATTCTGGTGAAGAGTTAGACAAGGAACAAATAAAAACAGACAGGTCATGATAAAAGCTATGAAGAAAAGAGCCAGAGGGTGTGACTGAGAGTACCTGTGAGACCATACTGGGCTTTTCTGAGAAGAGGGCACTTAAGGTGAGACCTAAATGTCAAGATTTGGAATAAAAACCTTCTAGGCAGAGTACAGCAAGTACAAAGGCCCTGAGGTAGGAATAAGCTTAGCCAGTTAGAAGGAAGACTGAGAGGAAGAATGCTATGAGCTCAGGTTAGGGGAGTAGCCAAGGGCTAGATTAGTTAGGGCCTGTAGGTCATGATAAGTAGTCTAGATTTTATGCTCGGTGATATGGGAATTAACTGGAGCAAAAAGCAATGACATTTATGTTCTGATTTATGTTTTTAAAAGATGAGTCTGGTCTGACAGATCAGAAAGCAATAAGACACTCCTGGAATTCTCTATCAGAATGTTGCATTTTAATATATTTTCCATTAAAACCCAAGAGGGGGCTTATGACTTAATTGGTATTAAAGTGCACACCAGTGACACTTTAATAGGAATAAGAATGAGAGAAATATGAGAAATATGAATGGGAGATAGGAATGATGAGAATAAGGAAGACAGGATGGTAGCCAGATGGCTCTAGTGGCCCCCAGGCTCATTTTCACAACCCTTCAAAACTTATCTCTACAATTAGGAGTTGATATCCTGAGCCATCTGGCACATGTGCCTAGGTCCTCACCCCTGATCCAGAGGGCTCCTGTGACAGATGCAGAGGACAGCTACTTGCCAGCAGGCCTCCATGCTCTGGCCTGTGCCAAGAGGCCACCCCTTCCAGCTTCCCCACCTGATGGGCTATCTAGGTAATAGTACAAGAACCTGCGTGTCAAAGTAAGAATGGCAAAGGTGTCAGAGGAAGAATGCCTCAATAATCCCTTTTCCTTGCCTAATTCTATGACTGTCACAACAGGGAGGAAAAAGAGGCCAGTGAACTCCAGCTTGAGTTTGCAGCCCAGACCTTTTCCAGCCTTCTACTTGAAACTGGCCTGTCTAGGTACTGCCAGGCATACCTGGATGCAATGGAGATTTGATGCCTTTCCTCCTTTTAACTACCCTAGACTGAATCAGTCCTCAGTGATTTGGGGTATTTTTGACCTACGTTCAGGTCCAGCAAGCTGTAATGTTACATAATACTACCTGATCAAAGCAAGTTTTTGCTTCTTTATAAGGGTCAACAAATTTCTTAAAGAAATAAAAACTGTCTTGGTACCGTAGCTACAGTCTATCGTCATAGGGAGAGGGTATGAATATCATAATCACAATCAATCAAATAGCTTTAACATTTTAGGAAAGAAGAAAAACCCAGCGGATCCTATCAGTTTAAGACCACAAATGGGGAAAAAAGGAAGACTATCAAAAGCAAAATTACCACCAGATGCTTCTAAGGAGCTGGATTTATTTGCTGTTTGAAAGAGAATGATAAAGATGAGAAGGGGCAGCTTCTGTTCCTCACATCATGCTCCTCCTTTCCCCAAAAGGATGGGGAGTGGGGCAGGAAGAGAACTCTTTGACATTCATGAACTCCAAATGAAAAGCATCCAATTATGTTTCAAAAGCTGTTTCAATCAGAACACACTAACCATTTCTTACTTTTTTAGACTGTTTACTTAAAAACCAAGATATGGTAGACCTAAAGGTTTTTAGGTAGTGGAAGAGCCAGGAAAGGAACACAGGTCTCCTGATTCGCACTACCTATCAACTTTTACCATGTATTTTTATACTATAAAGTAAAAGTGTATTATAGGAAAATAGGAACTGGACAGGAAGTCACCCCTTATCTCATCATCATACCATAACCACTATTAGCATTTTGTTCTATCACATGCTTATAGGTCCCCATCCCATATTGTTACACTCATATTGAACTAATCAGATCGTTTTCAAGGAGTGTTTAAAACAATTCTCAAGAGACCCTGGGACAGCAGAATCAAGTTGCTTAACCTCAGAACAGTTCTATTTACCTACCTGGTGCATCAGGTACTTGAAGAGGAATGAAAGGATCAGATACACTTAAAAGTGGGAGGTTAGAATCCACAGTCTGCCCACCCTTCCTTTTTTCAGCTGGAGTTGTTTGGAGTGGAAGGAAGGGTTAAAGAGAGAGAGAGAGAAAAAAAAGAAAAGGAGAAAATATCAAGTAAATCTAGATGAATTTACCATCTATTAACCCAACACCTCAAATTAAAGAGTAAGCATAAATTTAGAGGTAGAATAGAGAGATGAATGGATATAATCTAGTGTAATGGCAAAGTATATATGAGACATAAAATCTGGTCCTTGCAACATACTCTAAGATACAATTAATGATAAGACTAGGACATTCACACATCTGAAATTCCACATTTTCCTTATATGAAAGCCCACGGTGACCTCTTTCAGAATTCCTATAGCAATTACTGTCCATAGCACACATTTTGGCATGTAAACAAACACTATTTTGTAATGTAGCACATATTTATAGGTACTTCCTATGTACCGATTACCCTCTTGCTGTCACTGTATCACCAAATGTCTAATATAGTGCTAGGCGCACCAACAGGGAAGAGACTTCTTGCCTACTGCAAAGTTAGACAAGCCCTAACCTCTGGACTACTTCTTACATGCTATTGGCATTCATTCTATATTTGGCAAACTTAAAGAGTCACACAAATTTATACATCCTAAGGGATATCAGAACTTAAAGAGATCTTAGGATTTTCTAGCACAATTTTCTTATTTTCCAGAAAAGAAAATAAAGCCCAGAAGAGATGAGCCAGAGGTCCACCAGCAGAGCCAGGATCAGAACCCAGATTTCCTAGTTTCTACTTTAACAATTCTTTACACTGCATTTTAATATTCAGTTTGTTCATTAATTAAAATCTCATTTTGTCTTCTATAAAGTAGATTTTAAAAAAGCTTTTTATTTTCCAATAATTATGGAATCATAGGAAGTTGCTATATATAGAATCCTGTGAACCATTTAGCTTCCCTCCATGGTACGATCTTCTACACCTGTAGTACAGTAGCACTGACACTGGTATAATACTGTGAATTAGACTTTATTCAGTTTTCACATGCACTCATTTGAGTGTGTGTAATTACAGTTCCTTGCAGTTGGATCCTATGTATAGATTAGCTTAAGCATCACCACAACAATGATACAGAACTGTTCCATCAAACAGAAAAACTCCCTCTATATACTCCTTTAGAGTCATACACACTCTTTACTCCTGTCCCTATCTCTTGGAATCCACTAATCTGATCTTAAGCTCAATAATTTTGTCATTTAGAGAAAGTTATTAAAGTAGGGTTTTAACTAAGCTTCTTTAAAGGCAGATGGAGGAAGAGAAATGTAAAATCACTGCTCCTAAATTTCTGAAATATTTTAAATAAGACACAATGAAATATATTAAAGGAAAAAGAACAAATTATGAAAGTGAATATATAGTATAATTAATTTTTGAAAAAAAAATATATGCAGAAATAAAATTATGGGCATAGATACTGTAAAATGTCAGCAATGCTCGCCTCTTGCGGTAGAGTCATGAGTTCTTTTACTTCTTTGAGCTTTTAGTCATTTTCCTAAAATTTCACAAATGAATGCATATAATAAAAAATATTTTAAATAAAGAGGCACAAGGTCAAGTTTTAAATGTCTGTCTCCAATGTATGGACATAGTTCATCAACATTTTTGCAGCTTTCACCAAAAAAATGTTTAAAATAACTCTTGAGCCATCCTCCCTAACTTATTACCAGATTTCCTGATTATTTCCTGCGTTGGTCCATCAGAAGTTTTAAATCAGTGAACAGTCTGACCTTGATTAGAAAACTTGTAGAAAATGGTGCTATCCTGTACTTTGTACGAATGAGAACACATTAATTTCTGGGATTTAGATATAATTTTCTTATTTTCTTTCATCTGTAAAACATGAAGCTGTCACCAAAAAAAAAAAAAACAAAAAACACAAAAAACCAAACCCAAAAACATTCACACCAAAAACAAGAAAGAAAAGAAAATACCAAATGTTCTTAATAATGTTTGTAAAAGCTTAGTGTCACTGATTTACGAGATTCTTGAGATGTGGTTATGACTATAGCTTCTGAGCTGGGCTGCCCAGATACAAATCTCTATTCTGTCATTATCCAGCTGTAGCTTTGGATAGGCTACTTAACATCTGTGGGCTGTTGTGAGGATCACCTAAGAAGATGTGCAAAAAGCACTTATCTAGTAGACTTAGCAAGTAGCATGTACTCAATATATGTTCGCTCTCATTACTATCATAATTTTATTAAAATATGCGTTTTTACAGCTGCTAATCAAGGTCCGGTTAAAAAAAAAAAAGTACTGCCATTAAAACCCTCAAAGTAAGCATAAAGGGGAAGAAAGGCAAAAGCATAACAAAAAACAACTCTTAAAAAAAAAGAGTTCATACAGATAAACATACAACAAAACACAACAATGTGTGAAAGAATTGGGCATTCAAACTGGGAGTGAATGGAAAATGATTGGAGACCTCAGTCAGTAACACTGGTGAATCCAAACTCCTTTTCTTTCGCAAAAAGCAACTCTTTTCATTCATTCAGCAAATCTGTGCTGGGCCAACCTGTACTAAACGCTGGATTCAAAAGCAAAAAAGACTCATCCATAGCTTATTCTCTGATCCCCTTTCCGGGGAGACTGTATCCCACTCAGTACCACAGCTGGTAATCATTGTGATGTTCCCCCTCAAGGACAATAGTCAGTGCTTCACACATTTGGTACATTTAGTCAACTGTGTGGCATTTCAAATGCTAAGCACTTTAAACCAGACCAAAATATCAATAAATTTAAAAATTATATGGACCAGACAACAAAGCTGAAAATGAAAAATAACACACAAAAAATTCAATGCAATATTAAAAAGCGTAGCTCCCAAATAACTCCAATGCCTATTCCAAAATAATAACAGTAAGAACATCATATGAAGACTTATAGTATGGTTAAAACTTCAGTTTTTTTTCTTATGAGGGAAACAGATACCTAGTAGAAAGCACTCTCAAAAAACAATAATCCTCAAAGATTGGGGCGGGGTAGGCAGTTGGAGGGAGAAGAAAAGAGAATACTGGAATATCTGTGGAAAAGTCTTTCTGGATATTATAATTAGCCTCCTTCCCCACTCTCATGCTGCTTCACAACCACTGTTGTATTGGGAGAAAAATTCTAAATGCTTTCATTATTTTTTGTAAAGAATTCTTAAAAATATTACTGTGTTTCTCTTGCTATCAACAAAGCAAAACTAAGAAAAACAGGGAAATGTAATCAAAAGGTAAAAGGAAAAGTTAAAGAATTACAACACATAAAAACAGATTTTATAAATCTAAGAGTTGTCTTTGAAAGATTATAAAACAGCAAATCTCTAGCTAGAGTTAACAAGAAAAAGAGAAACACAAATACATACAATTAAAATTGATATACACAAAGAAAATACTTAAAAAGATTTAAATGTATTGTTCTATTTTATTTAAAAAAATGTAAACTACAGATGATTTTCTAAGAAAATATTACTAATTTTGCCTCATTATGTGGCAGAAATCCTGAGAGAGGAATTTCTGGAGCCAGAGGGTTGGTGTCCCAGCTCTGCCACTTGACTAGCTATGTGATTCTGGAAAAGAGACTAGTCTGTGTTCCGTTACCTCAACTGTAACTGATGTGCAGATGGTGTACCAACCTGAAAGGGCTGTTGAGAGGGTCAGAGGAGATAATTAATACTCATGAAGGACAAATGACAAACTGGGAAAAATGTTTATAATGTATGACATGTGAAGAGCTCATACAAATTAATAAGAACAAAATGAACACAAAACAGAAAAAAAGAAAAAAAGGCAAAGGACACAAACAATACAAATCCCCCCCAAAACAAAAATGGCCAATAAACAATGTCTCCTGTCTACAACCTCTGACCTGGGCTGGATGGAGAAATAGAAGGAAAATTACTATCATTCACTATTGATCAAAATAAAATTTGAATAGCATTCTTGGAGGGCAATTTGGAAATAGGCATCAAAAGCCTTAAAATACAAATATCTTTTGATTTAGTAAATAATCTCCTAGAAGTTATCTTAAACTGTAAAGGATATAAATAAAACTTTACTACAAGACTATATGGTGAAAAATTAACCACCTAAATATTCAATAAAGGAGATGTTAAATACAATGTTACTAGTCTATTAAGAGTCATGTTGTAGATTAATATTTATTGATATGGAACATTTATAAAATGAGTAAAAAACTGGACAACAGAAAATCCCTTCATAATACCCCAAAGCAAAAACTGCATAGGCAATATAATCATAATTCAATTAAAATATATCCAAAGTAACTCTTGGGTAAAGAAGAAATCAAAACTGCAACTTAAAAACATCAATAAAACAAGAATAAAAAAGCATTATATATTAAATACTGTGGAATGACAGCCAAGTTCTAATCAGAAATTTATGAGGTTAGAAAAACTACTAACACACCTAAAGAAAGCAAGAAGAATATATAAGGTTAAAAGCAGAAATTAATCAATATAAAATCAATACAAAAAATCAATTTTAGAAGTATATCTAATTCCATATCCTACAAAGAATACATTTAAAATATATATTCTACAAAATATATATCCTACAAAGAATATATTCACAATTTCTCACATCCATTGCTGAGAAATTTCAATGGTAAAACACTGACATTGAATTAATGTTTTAAAAAAAGGTACTTGGTTAAATATGTTAGGATATTTCCATATAAAGGAATTTAATGTAGATTTTTTTTTAATGCAGGCGTTTTTAAAGTTATATTTTAGGAGTTTCTTTAATGATGTGGGGGAATCATACCAGATTTATTAAGTGAAAAAAATAGGTTTTAAAATATGATGATAAAGATGTACTCTAGAGTCTTAAGCTGAAGTCTAACACTGCATGAAATTACGGTTACATGTATTTTTGTGAGGGAAGAGATCTATAAGTTTCATTAGATTCACAAAGATATTTAAGACCCTAAAAAAAGTCTCACTTAAAAAGAAACCCCCTCTCCCTAGAAGCAAACACACATACGCAAAAACACAGCCTAGCAGAGTCTCAGATATAGGACAGAACATCTAATTCTCAGAATTTTTCAAGTCATTCCAAAGAACCTAAGCAATTACAAGAGATTATCAGAGTGATGTTCCCCAGATTTAGAAATACTTGCTTAAAAAATGTCTGGGGACTAGAGAGAACAAATCCTGTATATTACTGCCAGATCATCGTGTCATTTCAACTGAAAGTAATTCTAGATCTTCCTTTATCTCTATCTTTTTTTATTGGAAATCTTCTGAATAAAGGAAAATATAAGTTACCATCAAGAAACTTATACTTTCCTTTATGGCTCACTGGGATGCTAGAGTTATCTGTGGAGTAGAAAACAGTGTGAAGGTGACAATAGTGAGTTTGTGTTTCAGATGTCTGATGTCAGATACTAACCAGTTCCAGCAGAAAAGGAGGAAGTGGCAAAAGCGTCACCTTGGGTTGGCTGAAAGCTTGGGATTAAACTCTCAGCTGAGCCTCCAAGCTTCTCAGGATGTTTGCCTGGAGGGACAAATACCATTCAGTTCATTCCAGCAGAATCCCATGATGTATCCCCAGGGCACTTTCTGAACTGCTTTCTAGATCTGACTCCTTTTTTACTGCATTATGGCAGCACCTTGGCCATTCAGAAGTCCTTGTCTAGTCACTGCAATCACCAAGAGAACGGCTGAGAAATGGAAGGATCAGTTTTGCAAGAGGAAAAGAGTTCTGAGATTGGCTACATAACAATGTGAATACAATTAATACTACCGAACCTTACACTTAAAAATGGTTAAGATGGTAATTTTTACATTATATTTTAATAAATAAATAACAGCAAAGAGACAGTTAGAGCTAAAGCCCTAAAGCTGAAGCACATTACTCAGAGTAGAATGTCTCTGCCCTCATTCAATCTATTTCTTTTTATATAATTCTAATGAGTTTGATGATTTGCTTTCCATGTTGGAAGCACTTTAGAAAGGAGGAGAGGGACTGGGGGAGATGGCAGCCGTGAGAGGCTGTGAGGCACAGGCACAATGACAATAGCTTAATGTGAAAGCCAACAGCTGAATAAGAAGAGAGGCAGGAAATTATTAAAAATAGACACAAGAATTTTAAAAACTTGGGAAAGTCACTTAATCGAGTGTAAAAATACTAGTTTTCAACAGTCTTAAAGGTATTTCTTTTGTAGTTTAGATTTATGGCACATATAACAATGAAATAATTTTACAATGAGTTGTCAAAGAAAGTTAAACCCTATTTAACTTCTGCTTAAAAAGGCAAGAAAACAATATGAATTTTAAAAAGGTATCTATAAAGTCATAGTTAAAGCTAAAATGTGTGGTCAAAGTTCATATAATTCACTTGGTTCGGATCATTCCTTTACCCTGTGCTCTTGTCTACACTGAGATACTCTTTTCGAATTGTATCATATTGTAAAATTTCCCAGGGTGTATGCTGTTGTTTTCCAAAGTGTGTGTGTGTGTCCTGCCTTCCAAATCAGACTGTGGGTTTGAGCGCAGAAATGACACTTCCTGTTTATTTGATCTCCTCTCCATGGTCAGTCAACAGTAATACAGAATTCTGATAGTCAAAGGTTCAGTGCCCACATGAGTACCCACTCTCATGGGTAAGCAGTTACAAATTTCTGAGACAATAAGCCCACGTAGGATGAGGGAACCATCATACCCCTCCAAGAAGTGACCATCCTGATCTGCCATCCTGATCTATGTTACCCAATCTTTCCTAAGTTTCTCATTCTCCTTGCCCACATCCACAACAGATTAGGACTTCTTGAGGATGAAAAGACTTGGTAAAAATAAAAATCAATTTGCATTCATACTTCAAAATCAAGCCTTTGAGAGAAAGACAGACCCAAGCCCACATTTTCATATGCGTGCCCCTCTAAAGTTAAAGTTCAAGAATCACAAAAAGACATCAACTACTCACCTTCTCCCAGCTTGGCAAAGTCCTTGTTTAGCAGTTCTTCAGCTGTGAGTTTGGAGAAATTGTCATCATCAAAGGGATTCCATGTAGAACCTTCCGAAGGATTATAAACATTCTGCTGAGAGGTCCGCGGAGAGCCTGATGGAGTGGTGGTTGCAGACCTAGGTAGGTTCCCATCCCCACGAAATAAAAAGACATATAAAAGTTGAAAGGGGTCAGCCTATTTTCTCTTTGTTTCAAGATCAAATTCTTTTCCGCGTCAAACCATAATTTTCCACGGTTATTTTCTAAAAGGACATTCCACAGCAACTGGACAGTTTCCACAGATAGCCTTTCCACTGTGGAAAATAAATGTCATAATTCACTATCTCCCACTACTCCCTTGCTTAGATTTCTGGTCTCATCTGCAACTCTTCAATTCAGGATCCCAAAGCAACTTGTTTTTAAGGCTTGTGTATCCTGTGGTGTCCACCACAACATCCACAATAACTGACCCTGGAGAGGCTGGGACTGATGCATATTCAGGCTGCCCTGCATCTGTCAAGATCTGGCATGCACAGAACTAAGAGCCACCGGCAATGGTCACTACCACAGTTCAAGAGAAAAAGAGACAGTTAACCACTACCTTATGCTTCTAGGTATCATTACTTAATTTTATTATAAAGTCTCTCTTGATACCTTTTGCCTTTAGCTAATGATTTAGAGATTTTTAATTTTAGAGTGCATGTTTCCAAAAAAGCCGAAGGCCTGAAATTGCATCTACACCACAAACACTCATTGCAATCTACTTTATATTAGGCACAGGGCCACTCACTGGATTTACAAAGGTTGAAACGTGATCCTTGTCTTGGAGGAACTCTAGGCTAGGTCAGCTAGACATACTCATATAGATAGACACATAAACAATGATAATGCAATGTGATACATGCTTAAAAAAAAGGATCAGACAAAATTCTATATCACAACCAGAGAAAGAATCAAAGAAAAGGTAACCTCTGACATGGATCTTGATGAATAAATTAACATTTCCTCGGTAGACAAAGAGGACTGCACAGTTAAGGGAGAGGACATAGGATGAACAAAATGCTTGTGAAGATGGAAAATGGTAAGTCCAATAATGTGGTACAACAAGACTTTGTTAACCAGTGAGTTCAGATATTACCCCACAGGCAAAGGGAAGTCAGTGAAAGATTTTCAACATGGAGATTTGGTTGGATCAGGAGTTTAGAAAATACTCCATAGAGCACAGAAAGGATGAGAGAATGGAAACTGTGAGGAAAATAGGAAATTATTTCTGAAAATAAGGATGTGCACTACAGGCAAACTCAGTTTCTTATTAAACAGAGATGTGTACCATTATATATATACATCTACACATATCTATATACATATACAAAGAATCACACAGTAACAGACCACTGCAGACCTTGCCCACAAAAAAAGAAGGATACGGGGAAACATCACATACTTAGACTTATTGAGACTGGCCTCAGCTGCAGCTGCCTGGAGCAGCTGGGTTGATTTGCTGGCAGGGACCCCAAAGACTGCACTGTGGGTTACGTCACTGAGAATCCGCCTGTGCCCAGCACGTTGGGTCTTGGGGGATGATGGAGGAGTGAGAGATCCGAGTTTCTGCCCCTGGATGGCAGGAGGTGGGGTTGTCTGAACCTTTGGCTGTTGTCTTACTGGGGCTTGAATCTGCTAGGAAAAGAGATAAAAAAATATGTTCCCACAAAAAAAAAAGGAAAAACAAATAAACAGATAAGCATAACCAAAAATGCCACATGAGAGCTAATATGGAGCTCAAATGGCTGAGTTTATCAATAATACCCAGAAAGACAAAAACTAGACCTTGAGGGTCTGAACTACAACTTTGGGACTGATACCAACATAGTATTTATCTGGTGTTTATACATAAATTTTAATCTTCATCAGCAACAATATATAGGGTAACCATAAGCAACGCAGCCCAGAACATAAGACTATAGAAGCTATTCCTAGCTCTAAAGATCTAGAACATGTCCTAAAGGACAACTTTCTGCTTCTGGGATCACATAGGAACTTGCTCAAAATGCCTCCAAATGGTAGGCTTTAACCACTGTCTGAAAACAATGAAGACACACCTCCAGCTAAAACACATTTGAGCTAAATGATTTCTGCTCAGAGAAAATTGACTCTCTGACATAGCTCTCAGACTACTAGTCGGGAATAAGAATTCCACTGTGATTAATAAATGGTAGTGCTTTTTTTGTTTTTTCATGAACACTCTTTATTTCATTGATAGGATGAGTCTATAAGATTTCTGTGGCAACTCCTGAGAAAATGGACAGCATTGGGCAGTGCAACTAACTTGTTCCAACTGTCAGTTTGGAAATGGCATTAAAGAACCAGACAGAGAACACAATAAGGAAGAAAAAATTTAAAAGCCTTTGGTGATTACTGAATGTCAACTGTAATTGAAAAATAAACAAACAAAATGTAAAATAAAAGCCCTTGATAATTAAGCTAATAACACAAAAACCTTTGAGATGTGGGCCAATTTCAAAAGGCAGGACAAATGTCACCACAGAAAAACAAACACATGGGAACACCCTTGTGGCCACACCCTTAGGGCCACATGGTTAGTCTTGAAGCATAAGTCACAGTCTACAAAGTGCTACGTCACAGAAAATGAACGTCAAGAAAGTGAACAAATAAAGTTAAGAGGTCACCTAACACTTTTCTTCAATCCTATCAATCCAGAGATAAAGTGACTTAAAATATTAAATGCCTCAGGTATTTATCCCTTCCCACCAATCTCTAGTCTGATTAGAGCTGCCCCTCTATGCTGCAGCTCAGGTCCCACATTCTGTGTCTTCAAGTCCAGGCCTTCCAAGAGATTAGGGAAACCAGTGTCCAGCTACTTGGGCCAGGATGCAGACAGCCTGGGATTTTCTGTCCTCATACTAAATCAGACTTTTATTTTGTTGAGACAGGCTATTTGCATGTGTGAGTACACAGGAACTTCACCAATAGGGTGAGTGACACAATATAAGATTCTAGTATCAATCAAACTATGCTTAGAGGGTAAAGCAGCTGACTGCATCTCTGAGGGAGAAGCAGAGTGCTCTGTGAAGACCAGAGCTCCAGCTCCACACGGCTTCAGGAGTTAAGGGTTGCAAGAAGCAGCCTAAAGCCAGAACCTACAGGGGCCAGAAAAGCTTTAAGGACAGAACTAGATTTGCTTATTTCTTGGAGTTTAAGACAATCATTACTCTGAAAAGGGTACCTAACTGTTGAGTCTTTAATTGAAGAGTCCAGACTACCTGGAGAATACTTCCCCTCCTCTTACCTAGAAGAGGTACCTGTGTGTGGCACACTAAGAAACAGATGCTTCCATTACAAGGACACCTTACCCTATCACAGCAATCTACTAATACAAACTGGCTACAACCTGATTATTACTTCTCACGACAACCATGTCTGGCAGATAGTTTTATTTCAATTTAAAATCTAAGAATGTGAGAGTTGAAAGGGACCTTAGAGAATAAGGATTCCAAGTCCCTCTCTTTAAAGGAGATGAGACCAAGGCCCTGAGACTAAGTGCTTGCCCAAGGTCATGGGGTCAATTGGGGGTAGAATTCGTGTTTCTTGACTACAGTTCAGGAAAGCACACTCAGATGTTTGTCTTGCTAAAGATTTGTTTAAAAAACAAAATACATAATTATAAAAGGAGTACAATCACATTGGGAATGTAAGAATGCAGACAAAAGGGGGAAAAGCCACCCCAGACTTCCATTCCACCACTCAAATACAAATGTCCTTACCTTTCTGGTATTTTAATATTTATCAGTCTCTTTTCCCATAATTCGAAATCTCTTTTAACATTATGTCATGAGTGTTTTCATTATGTCATACAGACTTTATAACCAAGTACAGACTTTTTAACGGCTGCAGTTGGGTTCTTGAACGATTAACATTGCTTCCATTCTTTTGGCTATTATTAATAGGATGGCCATAAACATCTATGGCATACGGCCATTTTCCTTTGCAGATTATTGCTGTAAGATGGCTGTGGTGTATACTGTACATTCACTCACTCGCTTCCCTAGGTAAGTCCTGCCAAGGGTCATCGAAGAAAGGGCTGGTCAAAGCTGGAAAACTCTCTAGCTCCTGGCATAAGTGTGTTCTGCTCCCATTCCCTCGCCATTCCCTCAGTCAACTACCCTTGAACAAAGTGCTCAAAGTATTGTTTCATTCAAGGAACATGGAGGAGGTTCGTAAATCATTCCCGAGAGAGTGGATACTTTTGTCCAGGGCAAGTAGAGAGAACTTCATAAGAAGTGTAGTCAGTGGCAGTTGGTCATTTCATCCCTGTGGATGAGCATTTGTTGTTAACCCTAAACACAGATCGGGACTCTCTGTTCTTGTCTCAGCTAGCTGCCGTCAGTTAGATTAAACAAGAAGACTGGACTAGATAATTAATATCTCAACTAGTTGCATCACACAATAATTTTTTAAAAACCCTTTTCGCTTAACAAGAGGAACTTCATCTCTTGTTAAAAACATGGAGAGGAGCTGTCTACCACACACCTGCAGGAAAACTGAGTTGTTTCAGAAATGAAGGTGTAAAGACAGCGAACACGCACTTAGACTTAAAGAAGGCAATCTATCTACAGCACTGCTTCCTTTTGAAAGGGTGCAGGTTTTCTAGTTTAAGACAGGCAACAAACTTCTGTTAGAAATCAATCCTCAGAATGATGGTTTCTTACTTTTCCTTCATTCATCTAGTTGTTGGACTTCTCTGGGAATAAGGGTAGCTGTGATACTCTACTAGCTGGGTATGTAAAATCTCTTTTCTATCACTATAAAATTATCTATCGCTATCACTCAGAAAACTATGAGTACAGAATTAAGGGCACTTATTAAAGGCCAAAACACAATGTGCCTGAGGATGCTGAAACAGCAGAAGTCGATCAGGAGAGGATGCTGGGATTCTGATGCTACACTCAGCCAGTATCTAAAAGAGGACATGCCTTATTTCTTAACTGACAAGATTGCTCAAACAATACTCAGGTGCTCTGGTGTCCAGAGGGATTAGGCCATGCATGGCAAATGGTCCCGGCAAGTAGGCACTTGAAGGGTGCTGTATGGTAGACTTAATTGAAGTGGTTATTACTATTGTCCAAGACAAAGAATAAACACAACACTGTCAGGACTCAAGGTAATGGTGGGAGCTCACATGAACCTTCAGAGCCTGAAAAGGCCACAGTGGTCAAACTTCCCCTTGAAGAAGAGAAAGGAAATAACTCTAATCCTACTATGGTCTCTGACTGCTCAACACAAGAGACAATAAAGAGCTTATTCTGCCAGCCTAATTTCAAAGTGATAAATAAGACTGTTCACCTTCATTAGTAGCCTAGAATCCTTCTTTTAAAAAAAAACCTCTAACATTTATAGAATACTTCATTCCATTCTTGGATATATCAAAAAAAGATCAAATATTTTAACCACGGGGTGGGGAAGCAACCTAGCCTTAGTCCAGAGGCCACCACGCCAGCTGTTACTACCTCTTTCCCAAGTCCTCACTGCATGCCCCTCTTCCGCTTTTGCGCTCTGAGCCCTGGCTGATCCTTACCGCTGGCTCCTGGGCAGGGGGTGGCTGTGGGGCTGCGGCCGGCTGTGCCTGGGGCTGCTGTACTCCTGCCACAGCAGGCTTCTGCTGCAAGGCGGCTTGCTGAGTCAGCAGCTGTTGTTGATGCAGGGTTGTGGCCAGCTGCTGTTGCTGCTGTTGCTGCTGCTGCTGCTGTTGCTGTTGCTGCTGTTGCTGCTGCTGCTGCTGGTAGAAGTTCTGTATCAGCTGCTGTTGAGAGCTTCCCTGGGACACCACAGGGAACTGGGCAATGGCTGGTTGCTGGGTTGCTGGGTGTACTGCCTGAAACTGAGTAGGAGAGAGTGTCAAGGAATGAGGAGGCGAACAGAAGCCTGTCTCAGAATGATATTCTGAATGTCTCAACTAAGACCGGTGCTGAAACCAAAGGCAAGGGTAGGTAGAGTCTTTTAGCTTGGCCTGAAACTCATGAGGGGAACCTGCGGGCATCAGAACAAACACAGCAGCACCTTACACTGCCAGGCTCCATCCACTGCACTGTGCTGCCTCCTGCACTGCAGACTGGCTTCTGGGTAGGCTTCTATGCCTCTCCTGAGAGTATCCATCTGACTACACATCTTGTGACTCCACATGCTAGAGTGTAGCAGAAGCTAATAAATGATCTCCCATCATAGAAGTAATTCCTCTTAAAAAGGGATTTGGAAGTAGCCAAGATTAAAATGCTTCCCTACATGAACAGGATGAAGCGATGACAACAAAAAGAATAACCTAAATGTTAGCCCAGCTATTAAGTCATCTCTTTCTAAAAATAATTTCCCAATAGCTCTATCTTTATTATCTTTAAGCATTCAAAATATTCAGAATACTCTACTACACTTAATATTTTATTTTATGTTGGTATTGAATTGTTTCAAGTTATATTCTCTTGTAAACTTCCTAAAAATAGAGAAACTTCTTATGTCTTTCTACTCTCCACTGCTAAGGACTATGTGCTAGGCACACAGATAGAGCTCAAACAAGGGCCTACTGATGAACAAAAGTCAAGATCTGTCTCTGAACATCCCAAGTTCTGTTACTTCGTTATAGGGCTAACTGAGAGGATATTGTTTGCCTACTGGGACAAAGTTAAAGGGTTAGTAAAGAAGCAGATGTCAGTAAATAGCTGCCTATTTATAACTGCAAAATGCTGGAAACAACTAAATGTCTATCAACAGGGGACTGATTGAATAAACTATGCTATATATTCTTAAAAGGGAACACTCTCGAGTTAGAAATAGGAATGAAAGCTACCTCTATAAATGGGATGAAGGGGATAGAATTTATGCAAATTTAACTTTGAAACTATGTAAATGTTTCATTCTCATAAAAACAAAATTAAAGCAAAATTTAAAAAAACAACTAAAAATCAAAAGCAAAATGAAGCAATGTAATCTGTGTGTCGAATTAATAACCAAACTCACCAGAAAATAGTGTTAAAAATTCTAAAGGTAAAAAGGGCAAAGGAATCTTAAACTATTTTCAGTAATCCTATTCTTATTATCTTGAAACTATAGATGAATGTTAATGTTGCTAGGAATCAAGATTTCGAGAAGAGAAAAATATGAAGATAAAATCCAAGAAGTTACATAAAAATCTTGTAATTACATGTCTGAATTAGAAACATAAATTTGAATTCATGGTATATATTTTATTAACAAAACAAAATATATTTCCTAACTGTCCACTGAAAAGTTCTAAAAACAACTAATCCATTAGCAAATGAGTATCTCTAGCACCAAGACTATGGTCTCTAAATACCATTTCCATAAAAAGGAAACAGAGCTCCTGAGAAAAATGGCCGATTCCAGGTCAAGGGCAGCATAAGCTGGGAACAGCTTGTTACACCAAAGAACAAAGAAACCATAAAGACTACTGGAGTCACGGCCAAAGGACCCAGGAGTCAATTTGAAGAGACTTGAACTGGCCAAAGTTGGGACAACATGAGCATCAAAATAAACAAATGTTTTAAAAACTACAATGTATGGAAACATATCAAATATGCTAAGATCCATGAGTTCATAATGATACTAAAACAAAACAAAAACCTCACTTTTTTTTTTTTTTTTGGTCCACCTCTGGATACTAAGAACAAACTCATTCTGAAAACTGGTAAACATGGAGAAAGAATCATGTATTTCTTCTGTTTTTTTTTTCTGTACAAACAGTACCTCAGGATAATCAAACAGCTGATGAAAAAAGTTCTTCACAGAAAAACTCCAGCCCCTAAATGAAGAGGGGATGTTAGAATATCACCATTTTGCCATTCCTAATGAATTAATGGACTTAGGAAATGACCAGCAATGGCTAAAAGGCTGCTGGGGAACATTAAATGAATGGATCGGATGGACAACACCAAACCCACTGACTGAGCTTAATATTATTAAAAGAGAGGACAACCAAACATTATATGCCCCTGGTGTGATATAACTGGAAAAACAAAGAACAATCAAACTGAATCAAATACTGAGCAAGCCTCAGGAAATTACCAGTTTACACAAGAGATGGAGGAACACATTAAACAACACCACAGGGATGCCATCAGCCAAGTCCAGAATGTGGAAAATTCTACAGAACGAGTGACCCAGGTTCTTCAAAACAATAAGTGACAAAAAGAGAAAAAAAGTGGGAGAGGGCATCTATGGTTAAAGGGGGATTTAAAAGATAAGAGATATAGTCATTGTTATAAAATGAATATGTTCATAGTAAAAAACATGAAAAAATATCAAAAGTAAATACAATATGTGAATCTCTTAAGTTAAGAGACATGAGAAAGAGTTAAACTCTACTGCATATTTGGTTAGAAATTATTATTATTTGTTACAGCATGATAATGCTATCGTAGTTACGTCAGAAAAAGAAAAAAGAAAAAAAAGAGTCCTTAAAACTTAGCTCCCTCCCTGAGGTTCCTCAGTCAGGTGAAGAATTCCGCATGGCCTGGAAGAATGGTGAAAGGGGTATAAGTGATCCAGTGACTGCTCCACTACACAACACCTGATAGTATCTACATCTGGGAGAAGCAATAATATGATGAGTAATGGCTGTCTTCCCAAAGTGAATTCCTGTACCTAATGGGCATTTTCAGTGACAACTCAGAAATGCAAAGCAAGGGTCAGACTGACCACCTTACCTGCTGAGCCTGGGCCTGCTGCTGCGGCTGGTAAAATGTGCCTGCTGACTGCTGTGGTGGCGGCGGTGGCTGTGGCTGCTGCTGCTGCTGCTGCTGCTGCTGTTGTTGCTGCTTGAGGAAGAGTTGCTGCTGGTGCTGGGGTGTGGCCTGGGCCTGAGTAGGTAGACCCTGGGCTGGAGTGGAAGGTGTCTGCTGTGGGGTGGGTGGAGCCTGAGGCTGCTTGGGCTGAGACTGTGGTAGAGGTTGGCTGGGTGGGGGCTGGGTTTTTGGTTGGGGAACATTGGCTAAAAGGCCAGGCTGATTGCTGGATCCTGCAATGAGAATAAACTACATATAAGGGCTCAAAACTCTTGGATAAAACTGGCTTACTTTCTTGCCAAAGCAAGAAAGGGGACAATAAATGGACAGATAATCTCAAGATCCTTGTGCTCTTCGCTATCTTTGCACCTAGAAAGTTTTTTCTTTTTGCTAAACTCTGTGCTTCATATTTTTCAAAATAAGATTCGATGCTTGCTTTCTTCAGAAAGTCTTCCCTTATTCACCATCCCATTTAGTCAATTATTCCTTTAGTCAGCATCCTGAATATCTATAAATTCAATTGGCCTTTGATGCTTCTGTATATAAACCCTATCTTTACACTTGTTAGCACGCTGTAGAAAAGCATTCTTTGATGTTTTGTAACATGTAGGTTACAAAACCCCAGTCTGGATGCCTGGCTATAGGTAGATTGCCACTGAATTCACCAAAAGCGTATTGCTGGTAGAAGTGACGGCTTCATTCAGTTACTTAATAATTTAGATCAATCTTCTTTATGAAACTGAACTCAATCACCTCATTAGAAAAGGAATACCAAAACAGTGACAGATAATTTAAGAGACACCATTAAACAAACAATTTCTGTATGTCGAAAAGAGGTGACTTTTACTTCTTTAAAGGCAAAGAGAAGTCTATGAAATAAAGAGGTAGGTATGGGATAAATGGACCAAGCCATAAAATCAGGTCCAAGACTAGACAAAATAGAGACAACAGGCTTCAGAAGTCTTGGAGAGTCCCTGCAGATTCAATGACAGGCCTCCCCTTTTGCTGGCCTCTTGCTGTATAATTTCAATGGCAGCTCACCTCTCGTTCCTCAAAGAAAACCATTATTCTTTATGTGCCTCTGCATTCCATCCCTGAAGCAAAACCAGGCTTTCCAAGACGTCTCTATTGTCCAGGATAACAAAGAGGTATACCAAGTTTCCAACCACCTTAGTAACTGACCTGCAGGCTGAGGTGGGGGCTGAACCGTGGCCCTCTTGCGAGGTGTCAGGGCTGGCTGGATGGGAAGAATTCCTGGGTTCGGCTGAGTCTGCCCAGCTTTAGGCCTCTGGCGGGGCGCAATGGAAGTCTCTGTGGTGGGGATGGGATCTGTCAGTCTAGAAAAGGAAAAGAATAAACAAAGATTCTTGTTAAACTGTCGGGAGGGGCAGACAGAGCACATGATGGATTAGCTTTCTCCTCTACGCTCATCCAAACTTTCTAGATCTGCTTAATCAGCATTTCCCAGAGGGTGTTATGTGTTACTAGATGTTATGAGTGACGCTTTCATGGGTAAATAAGTTCAACATACTGATCAAATATTTAGCAGACTTCTTACCAACAGAACTTTTCATGTGTGAGTACATATGGAGAACCTCAAAGATGGCACTGTATAGAATGCAGTGTTTCTCAAACTTATTTGACTTTGGGACCCTTTTACCTAATACTTTCTAGGACTTCCCAGAATACACTTGGGTGATGATGCAAAAAGGAGTTTAGAGCAGGTGGTTTTCAGATGTAAAGGGAACTCAAACTTGATTAGAACTAGCTGTCAAAATGGTTTCTCTACAATTAAAAGTATGCAAATGAGCTGATCCAATAGGACAACTAGAAGGAGTAAGTAAATAATTCAAGATAATGGATTTGGGAAGTGTAACAAAAACTCCATTTTCTCTAATATACATATTTGCTTTTTTCCATGATAATATAATATTTAGCTGGGCATAGCGTCACCCAGAGTAAAAATCACATTGCCCAGTCTCTCCTGTAATCAGGTATGGCAATGTGTCTAAGTTTTGGCCTTACATGGATGTAAGCAGATTATTATGTGGCAGTTTCTAGAAACCTTAAGAAATAACTGGTGCATGCCCTTCATCTCTCTTCTACTTCGGCCATATCTCGAGCCTGCTGCTTGGAGCAAGAATGCTGCCATATTGGTCCATGAGGTCATGGCCATAACCGTGGGAACAGTAGAGTGGTGAGCCTGAAGAAGCTCACCACTGGGTGCCTGAGGGCTTCGTGGAAGAGAATTGCTCTATCAGCCCTGGACTCTGTTTACTTGAGAGAAAAAAATAGTCATCAATCTTATATAAGCCACTGTCATTTTGGACTTTCTGCAACTCATAGGCAAATCTAATCCAAATTAATACAGGGAGGAATGCTGTGTGGTCTGCTTGCTTCTTGTGATGGCGCCAAAGCTCAGGTAGTGAATTCCATTCATATAGAGCAGTCCTGGCAGCTGGCAACGACCAACTCAGATCAGTGTGACTGTCCTTTGAAAATGCATTTTAGGGAGCATAGCTGATGTTAAGGCCAAAATAAACAAGCTTCACGAATATTTCCAAAATACGTCTGGCACAGCCTCCATGAAATACAAATCAGAAAGCAAAAAAACTGGCCCTGTGTCCATCCCTGTGACATATCTCCAAGGTATGTCCACTCTGGACTCTGAGATTTTTCACTGGTATCCTGCCAGAGGGATGCTCCTGTACTGGGGGAAAAATGCATAATATAAAAGCTATCATGTTTGGGGAGGTTAACTTGGGAGAGGTGGGAAGAGAAATGGAACAGATGTTGAGAAAGGTGTAAGAAAGATAAAACCAAGAGTGAGAGAGGTGAACAGGCTTCTGTAGAAAACCAAATGTTAAAAACTTCCACTCTGGACTCCTCCTAAGGGTGATTGAAATCTTAGAGACACTGGGATTTGGAGTCAAAGAAAATTATATTTGAGTCCTAGCTCCCTATCTACTAACTGTATGATAATGAGCATGTCATTTAACCTCTTTTACCCTTGGGTCCCTTATGTGTAAAATGGAGAAAATAATACCAACATCATGAGGCAGATATGAACATCGAATGCATCAATGACTATGAAATCATTTACAAAATGCAGAGTGCTCAAAATGTTAGTTTATATGGGCCTCAATATGCTGTGAGAAAATACAGACCTTGAAGCCAGGAGATCTGGCTCTAAGTGTCCTATCTGTGTGACTTTGAGCAAATCACTTAGGCCTCTGGCGGGGCGCAATGGAAGTCATACAGAGTGGAAAAAGTGGGGATGCTGAAGGTCTGCTTCTTTTACTAAGCGCATATTGACTGACTACCTTGGCCAACTTAGAATTCTGAGTCTATTTTCTCATCCGTAAAATGAAAATAACAGCAACCTCATGAGTTTGTTTTAAAGGGAAAAAGTCATCTTATTTATGTAAAGTACCTAGTATGGTATCTGGTACAGATGATACCTCAATGAATAGTGGCCACTTTAAAAACAGAGTTAGAAAGAAAAACCTACCTGTCAAAATCAGAGAGCAAATATGAAATTGCAAATGAAATCATTGTAAATTATAGCCAAGACAACTTAGACTCAAATCTCTTGGCTGTAAGGTCTGTGTATTCTTGCAGCATTATTGAGGGCCATACAAACTGAAAGTATGGGCACTCTACAGTCTCTAAAACAGTTTCACAATCATTGATGCAGTTGATGTTCACATCTGCCTTATGATGTAGGTACTATTCTCTACATTTACACAATAGAGGACCACTCAAATATTAGTTGTTATTATAATTTTTATAAATGTGCATGCTTTGTGGGAATGGATCCTTGCTTAGCCTCAGTACATACAATGTTTGGGCCTAGTACAGATGGTCATAAATCCAAAATACTAAGCTAGTAAATCAGTCCCAAAAGGAATACCCAGAGGTGAGCATGACAGACTTATATAAGAAATAGTCTACAAAGTAACAAAATGGATATAGTTTGCTCCAAAGTCTCCTTACTTTAGAGCCACATCAGCAAGCATTCTATAAATAGCCAAGATTTTTTTTTTTAATGTAGAAGTTACCCTTCTATTAAAATTCACATATTCCCATCTAGGGCATATTGCTGACAGTTCGACCCTATTGGTTCCTTGCTATGGGAGTGTGGTAGAAAAAGAAGAGTATAAATAGCTCTAAGATCACCCTCAGAATTTGCCATTTGGAAGGCCTGGTAGCATGAGAATGTGTCCTGTAGAACTTCGACTACAGGAGTGCAAAAGACCAAGAGATAGGCCTGTTCCTGGGAGACAGGGGACTCCTCTGGTAGCTGAGTTTGACTCGAGGACTCCCGACACCTTGGTGAACCTTCCTTAACTTGTGCGGCAATTTCTAGGTTACTTCCACCCAAACACCTCCTCCTCCTCTCTGAGTCAGACTTATATCGCCCCTGATGGCTCTCCCAGCCTTCCCTGGCTCCCTTCCTATTTTCACTCGCAGGGGCATTTCCTCAAATAAAATCCTAGCTTCTTTAATCCTCTCTTAGCATCTGCTTCTTGGAAGACCCTAGGTTACACAGAATATGATTAGCTAAGATCCACAGGCTCTTTTGCTGTTCATGGACTCAGTACTGTGACCAGTACTCTCCTAATGTGGCCAGGGCCATAGAAAATAAGAAGGAAAGGGAGGTGTGGGGTTAGGGTGCTGAAGGAGGCTAAACGAAGGCTGGGACACCTGTTCGAACACTCCTGTACTAGCAAAGTAATATTTAAAGTCTGCTGTTGCCTCATCTCTGAATGGCCCTGGCCTATTCCCAAGCAAAGGAAACAGCTGTGGAGTCCTTGATTCTCTTTCAAATGTAGATCACTGTATTTCATTACATTCCTCCTGGCACTCTCAAAGAGCTTCTACCTAGAGGAGACAAAGCTTGTTTTCTTGTTCTGTGCAACCTCTGGTCATGGTGGTAGAAGAATCAAGAAATATAAGGCACCCTTCCCTGTTACAGAGGCAACCAAGTACATGCTCACTAAGGCATTTCTTACCTGGCCTTTGGCTGGGTCTTCTTTGCAGCTGCTTCACTGGCTTTCACTGGTTCAGGAAGCTTTGCAGGAATGGGAGAGTTCTATAGAATTGAAAGGAAATTTTTTTTAAAAAGGACATCACAGATTTCTTTGATGAGAAAGAGCCTGTCTCTAAGGAATGAGGTGCTCACTGCTCAGGCATGTGGCTCTAATATAAGAGAGTCTGACTGGTCAAGCTACTTTCTCTGACTCGATCTTATTAATAATAAAGTCAATATTCTGAGCTCCATCTGAATGATTCCTAACTCTGATCCAGATGTGGGAGTGAAAGTGAAATGTTAGCTATTAGCCATCAGAAGTTCATTATTGGAGAAACAAGCAAGACAATTTCACCTTAAATTTTATTTATGATGGCATCCATTAGTAAAATAGTCAAGGGAGTTGGATCATACCATGTGCCAAGACTGTAAAAAGGGAGTTTGCAAGAACTGTACTCTGAAAACAGTGAGTGTAGAGCTTAGGAAAACATTCCTATGGCCTGATGTGTGTGGGGACGGCAGGAGAAAAGGAATGTGAGTTATAGATGGCCAATGGCAGAAGCAAAACCGAGAAAGCTCTGCCACAAGAAGGAGAAAAGAGACAAGGGGCTTCTGTTCCACTAGGCGTGGGGACAAGTCTCAAGAAAGCAGCCTGCCACCTCTAGATAAATACAATAAGCATGTGGCTCTCTGTGAACTGTGAAAATTGACAAAACATTAGTTTGGTCAATCTTCACTGGAAGCGCTCAACTCCATCCCTAGAGTTTTTTTTTTTTCCCCCAGTGTAATTCCCTCAGTTTTATTTCCCACAGAAATTCTATGGGAAAATTGGATTCTCTTTATAGCAACTGCTTTATAATTAGTTCTGCTTGAATGCCCCCTGCCAGATAAAGCGAGAGATACATCTACATTGATTTAAACAGCTGATTAACACCCTGGGAATTCTAAACGACAATTCAATGGTGTTTACTTTCCCTAAAAAAGCACCTTTCACATACCTGTACATTTGGAATTGGGCATTCTTTCTTGAGTAGCTTAAATGAGAAGTAGGAGACCTGGTAAATATCCGGCCTTTTGTCAGGGTCTGGTTCCAACATATACCCTAAAACAAACATGTGAACTTATTTAGTAATATCCTAACACTTAGTACATTAGTAGGAAGCTTAATTTCTCTACTACCAATATTTTGTTGTTTTTAAATTTTTAATTTCTATAAAATTTTTATTTCTCTTATTTCTATAAAAGTCAGATAGTACAATAGCCCTTTTCCTCCACTCAGAAAGAGAAGTTCTCACTTTTCTGAAATTCTTAATATCCACAAAAAAATAACAAATTTTTTGAATTATAACAAAGATATCTGAAGTTCATTTGCATTCTGTGTCTTGCACAACAGGGATTCAAACTCTCAATATAAAAATTACCAACTTTGTATTTTGGTCCCTAGGAAGCTACATGGTCTTGCTTATGGCCTCCTAAGTTCATATGATCTTGCTGAACAAATGGTCATTCTTGATAATTATAATCAAAACTCAAGTTTCATGAATTTAATTATTATTCTTTTGTTGGAGATATGAGCTGGTCTCCAATCTAAAAGAAATCACGAAATAAAAAATACATCTCCATTTTTACCATGATCTATAGATCATTTGTCTGTCTGCAGCTGCCCTTTCTGAAGCTGGAAAAAGCCTCCAGAAAATATCTTTAAGAAGACATACAAACACATACGTATATATACAAACAACAATGCAAGGCGACTTATTGCTCAAGATATCAAATGAATGGTTTAGATGCTAAGTTCAGAAAAAAATGATGAGGCTGCAGTCTTGTGATGAAGGCCTTGCAGAAGAGGGAGGACTTGAGCTGGTCTTTAAAGGCAGAAAAGAATTTAGTTAGTCAGAGGAAAGCAGAGAAAAAGACATTCTATGTAAGAGAACAGTCTGAGCAAAGATGGACTTGGAGAAAGGCAAAAGAATGCCTTGTTACAGGAAACAGAGGAGCCAGAAGGCCAGGGCAGAGGTATCTTTGTCAGAGACTACAGGGAAATAAGGCTGGGTGGGTGGGATGGAATCAGAATATGAAGCATCTTAAATGCCATACTAAGAATCTGGGCCTACTGTAGCCATGACGTTTACTCAATCAGGACATGACAGGGTGGCATTTTAGAAGATGAATCTTATGGTGAAGGTGTTTTGGATAGACTGAAGAGAGAGGGGAGAGGCTATGGCCAATCCGCCAGTACAGGCATGAGCTGACAGTCTGTACATCCTATCATGACAATGATGAAAATAGAGAGAATGTAATGAAAATGGGAAATGCCAAAGAAAGAACAAATGATATCTAAGAAATTCTCTTTCCTTCCTCTTGCTAGGCAAATCTAAAGAAAACCTTAAATTTCGGTTATCCAGACTTTAATGGTGACACCACTGAGAGAAATTGAAGAGGAGAGGGAAACTTTAAACTGGGAGTAAAAGGGGGTGGTAGTGGGGTGGGTGACGATAAATTTAATTTTAGACCTGTGAGTTTAGGGTGACAGAAGAATTTTCAAATAGTTTGTAAACTGAAATAGATCGGAATTTAGGAAAGATGTCATGTTACAGACATTCATAAAGAGTTGTTTTTCTTAATACGAATTTTCTGCACAAATGTTAAAAAGAAAAAAATTTATTACCCAAATTCCAATCATTCTAGCATCAAATTTGGCCATCTTCCCATATTTCCTTTCAATCTCATTTGCAATTCTAGCATAGATATAATGCTTTACCTCTGAAAACAACCCAACGACCATTAAATGCCACATTCCATTCCTTTAAATATCCCCTTCCCTTTTTTATTAATAAATGAAAGAGGATGGTTGATAAAATTGGCACAATGGAATGGGTAGTCACTAAAAAGTTGTAACTATATTAACTTGGTTAAGTTACCTATACTTTCTTAGCTTCAGTTTCCTCATTTTTGTAATGGGAATAATTACATTTACTATATAGTGTTTTCAAAATGAAATGAGGTACAAGTAGACCCTCAACAAATATCAGATGCTCTGCCCTACACTGGCTTCTATTTTCTCTCACATCCCCACCCAGGACCCCAACTCAGTTGCTCAGGATTTATAATCCATAATGGTTAAAATTTAGATGCCACATATCTTGACTGATATAAAAAGATTATTTAAAAAAAAATCTCTGTTTCTTCAGCATTTTAGTGCAGGGTCTTATGCAAAGATTACTTATTGTACCATCTGGTTACTGAACATTAGCACATATGCTTGCTATGATGATGCAAAGGAGTAGGGAATTGAAAAAAAAAAAACATTTTAAACAAAGTGTGGAGTTTAAATGCTTGTTATCAAAATCCAGCGATTAACCTAAATGAGAGGAAAAACCTAGTTTCATAGTTATATAGTCTTAATTATGTATTCACTCCAGCCAATGTATTGCAATCATTTTAATTTGAGTTGCTTCCGGTTTTGCAAAGATAAATTTCTTATCATTTGATATGAGTCAGCTGGACTCCTTTGGTTCCAGAGCTTTCATATAGACTGCAAGAGAACAGAGCAATACTGTACTGTTCAAAGCATAGTCAGGATTTCTGCTCAGGTGGCTGGCTCAGGTGTAAAACAGTTTATATTTCTAACCAAAAAAAATCCCCATCATTCTCATTAGACATTGTTATATCATCTTTGAGTGACCAAATGGTATCACCTGATTTTTTAACCTTTGCGTCCAACTCACCACTTCTAGGATCTAATCCCTTTATCTCAAATTCATTCCTAGACTTAAGAGATAAAAATATGAAACTAGAAACTTGAAATACTTACTAATTAAGCAGTGCATGTCTTGGGAATATCGAGAGTTATCAGGAATTGTGAAGTTTCCATCACAAATTGCCACCTGACTCTCCCCAAATGGCAAAGTGAAGTAGCATAATTTATATAATAAACATCCAAGAGCCTAAAAAAAATAAAGAAAGTAGAATGCTACCAGTGGTTTATTTACCATAACCGTGAATAGGTCTACTGAGAGATTCAGGCACCATCCACATTTACTAGCAGATATAAAAACTATGTACTATTCACCTATTAGTAATTTGAATTCAAAACCCAACGTTACTATTAAGCTGTTTAGTTACATTACTTCTACCATCATTGTCAAGTTGTGCTCCAATAAAGAACAAGTTATTTCAGCTGTTTTGCTCTAAGAACTAGTAACATATATGTGACAACCAGTTAAACAATGGGCAGGTCGCCTAAATAATTTTCTCAGAGCTCTAAAGTAATTTTCTTTGACACGCTTCAAGAAGCAGTGGCTGGTCACTCCTGAGTTAAGAATAACCCCGAGGGATAAGTAGACAAAGATATGGTACAGTGGCCACACTTGCTATGGCACTGCCTGGATTAAACTTGGGAGTCTGCAGTCGAGACTGCTGATATCTGAGATGTGGATAGGTTAGTTGACACCTACCCAAATGTCTGCCTTCGTAGTGATGATTTTGCCACTGTACAGGTTGACCATTTCTGGTGCTCGATAGGACAACGTTGTGTATCTACAATCGAGAGATTCATTTTTTGTTAAATATGTCAATAATATAATTTAAAACCAGGAGTAGCAGAAATACATACATACATACACACACACATACATACATACATACATACATACATACATACATATGAGAGAAAGAGAGTTAGCTCCCTGGGAGCAATCTGCAGAAGAGAGCATGAAATAGTAACTGTGATAAAATGAAAAGCTGTCCTTGGTATATACCTGTGGCCCTCTAGCAGCAGTCCTAATCTAAGAGTATGTGGGGACCCAGACACTATGGCATTAAATAAACTCTAAAATCAACTTTTCTTGGGTCCTCAAATAACGAAATCTCTTCCTGTATATCCTTGTTGTCTGATACTATATTTTGCTGATATGTTTTTAAAAATAGTAATCTCATCTAATGTGGCTTGACACAGAGATGTAATACTGGCTGTAACACCCTGGAGAACGGCAGAAAATGGGCCCTGGCTAGGGTGGGAGGTGGATGGATCTTCACTGATAAAATAAGGCTGAAACGACAGTTTTCCTCTTATCTCTGGCTCAAGAAAAGAAGAATATGAGCTCATTTTCAAAGTGAGTGTCTTGGTGTTACCAAGCATGTGACTTGTGCTTCTTGAGTCTCTAGAGCCCAGAAAGTTCAGGTGTCCGTTAGGGCCTTGGACAAAATTATACAGCAAGAGGCCAGCTCCAGGATTGGTTGCCAGGGGTAATGCAGGAAAGGAGAAAGAGGATCACGATATGAGTAGGCACACTAGACTGCTGATTTATTAATAGTAATACTGAGTGCTGTTGCCTGTGAAAAATTCAACACTGGATAACAGGGGAAAATAGGTCAGGTTCTTACTGGAGTCACATTATCTAAAGAAGCTTTTCCTTGTGGAAGTCAGTGATTCAATATCTGTAGAGACATCAATAACCTTACTCACCTCTAATTCCACTATACTGCAGGCGAGCTCCTTATGAGAAGGCAGGAATACGCAGCAATTTAGGGTTCAGTAAAAAGCGCATCCAAATGACTAATAATGTTACAGTCGTTGTGATCCCATTTACAAACATCACAGTATGTTTATGGTGTTTATACTACTCAGCTTTTTAAGGGCTATGTGACATAAATCAAAATATCTATGTACGATGACCACAGGCCCATTGATAAGGGCTATGAGAGTCCTTCATTTTACTCAACTCATCAATGACTGTGACTGCCCTCTACATCCTCCACTTAAAGTCAAATAACCCAACTGCCAACACGACACTCTGAGAAGAGGAGTGACTGACTGGCACTATTGTTTTCCCTTTCTGACATTCTCACCCATAAGCTGAAAGGAAAGTTGCTAATCTAATAATGGAAAAAACTCCAAGAAAGAAGAAAAGCTTACTTCTTAATCTCATCTTCTACTGCATTGACTCCTTCAGTTTGTGGATTCTGGAATTTGTTGGTGGCGCTTCCAAAGTCACACAGGACGTAGTGGCCTCGGTCATGCAAGAGGATATTTTCAACCTGAAAAACATCGCCCCATCATCCATTCCAAGATATCGTTTATTAATGTGTGTGAAATTTTCGTTCTCATTCGCATAAATAAAATATCTCTGATGATCCCATTAATGTGCACAATTAAGTTATTCTCCAAGTATTTCAACAGGGGTCACCCCCCTTGGAACAAAACAAGATGAACAATAATGGGGGAAAATGAGAGCGAAGGTGGCAAAAAGAGGCAACTCCAAAATGGGGAAGCAAGAGTCCCATTTTTTTAGATTTCTAGCCACATTTCTCACCTCTGCAGAAAAAGTCCTCATACTTTCAAGCCTCTGTATTTTTTTCTCTCATGCTCTTCTTTCAGTCTAGAATGCTCTCTATGATACACACCTCCTTACTCAACTATCAAAATCCTTCTCCTCTTTCAAATTCCAGTTTAAATGCCATCTTTTCTTTGAAACCTTTCTCAGACCCCCCACTCAGACAAACGCCACTCCTTCCCTGTGTTCCTTCAGTACTTTGTTCTTCCCGATATCAATTATTTCACTTGGGCCTTATAAATACGTACATTAATTTCTTTACTACAAGAGGTTAGAGTTTCCAGAATTAGTACATATTTGCTGTATTTTAGTCACTTCTCAAAGTGATTAAAGGTCTGTAGGCAAATGTATACTTTTCCTGTTGATGTATTATCTTTGTCTTTTTATAGATGAATTCTTTGGGCAGTGAGTTAGGAGTGTGGGGTAGAAGGGAGCTTACAAAGACCAGAACCTAGAAAAATCCCTGGTATCAAAGGCTCTGCCAATGAAATAACAACTCTAAAACGGCAAGCACTACTGTACTCAAGATGTATTGATTAATTTTTGGTATAGGTAAATTGAGCTGACTAGTATGTTCATAGGACAGACCTGGCTATGTGTGGGCAGTAAAATGACAGCCAAAAAATCTTGTTAGACCAATAAGTCTGCAGTCTCCATTGTTGTTTTTGTCTTCAGCCTTCCAAAGGCAAGAGTAGACTATAAGCACCTAAAAATAAGCACAGGTACCTGCAGTCTTCTCTACCATTGCCTAATGTAGTGTTTGACACAGAAAATGTTGACTGGAATAAAATTAAAAATACCCAGGCCTTACTATTGCTACCACTTCTTTTAAAAATATCTAGTCAATTATGAGTCTCTTGTTTCTATACTTGTTTCTAAACTTTAATTCTTATAAAAATATTATATATTGTAAAATATTTTATAGTTTGTGCAAATCCAATACCTAAAGTTTTTGCTGCAAACTGATTCTATAGTTGTTTCTTATTCCACTGAGTCTCACCCATGGTAGTGTTGTAAGGGGTTTTGTCATTGTTGTTAACTCATGTTCCTTAGAATTTATCTGTGGAAAGCCTTTGAGGCCTGAGTGTAAAGTCTATTGTTGTTCCAGAGAGGATATGCTCGTGCATCTGGGGCACTAATAACCTGTAATCACTTTAATTTAGAATTCTGACCTTGAGATTTTTTAGCCACACAGGCAGTGTGAACTATGGCCATCAATTGGTGTGGATATGCTCTTGCTGTTAACAATTCTTAGGGGAAACTCATTCCCCAGAGATGAGGCTGCAGCAGGCAAATATGTCCATCATCTACAGCTTTTTATAAAGCTCATTAGTTTAATCTAGTTACACAAAATTAAACAGTCAAGCCATCCTGAACATTTACTCACTTTAAGAATCTAAAGTAATTCCAACAAAGCAACACTAATATTTCCAATCTAATTTAGAGGTTATAAAAACAATAGCTATCATTACTGAGCTTTTACTATTACGAGTACTACTATATCGGCACTTTACATGGATTATTTCAATCCTCATAATAACAATATGATAATGTCCCCATTTTACAGATGGGAAAGTAAGGCTCACAGTGATTAAGCCAGGAAGTGAATCTCGGCAATCTAACTCTATGAGGGACAGGCAGAAAGCAGGTTAGAAGGAGAGCAATTACTCAAGGCCCCCATCCCTATCCTCCAACCTTTGTAGAGGAGATGACTATATTCACCCTATATAGTGGATAGCAACTTAAGGACAGGGCTACCTTCATTCCTTAGGTTCAGACATGGCCCTATAATAGGAATCTAGTCAATGAGGAACCAAGTGTCTAAATACTGGCCAGGCTGATTTGCTCAAAGTTTCCTAAGCATTCCCTACATTGCCTAATTTGTCCTTTTATTCAATTGCTCACATTCCACTAGTCAAATCCCGGCCATTCTTCAAATCTTTGCTCGAGTCCTAACGCCTCAGCAAAAACTTCCATGGCTATCCTACAAAATCTACAGAATCTGCTGTCTCTAGGAGAGGCTAACAAAGTGAGCCCTTCAGGCCAAACCAAGCCATCTCCTATCCTTTAGTTTCTGGCTGCTTTCAAATTCTAACAGTAGAGTTGAACAGTTAAGACAGACTGTATGCCAACAAGCCTAAAATTTTACTATCTGGCCCTCTACAAAAAAGCTTGCCAACCGCGGTCTATAATTATACCCAGTCCAGTATTTTACACACACAGAGACCCCCAGATCCCTTATACGGCATCATTCAGCAACAATTTTCCTTCCTGGCCTTATGCATCTTACGGGGCTCATGTGAAACTACACTTCTATTGTACATACGAAGTTCCTTCCCAGATCGGTTTCTATACTTTTAATGCTGGAATGTATGATCTAGAAAACTGAAAAGTTAACTCACATCAAGACACAAAACAAGGTAGTTCTAGAGACCAAATTCATGGGAAGGAGGAGAACTAAGCAGACAAAGGACAGATAAAGATAAGGCACATTGGGGATTTTTTTCCTCACCTTAAAAACTAGGTTGGTATTTCTGGTTAATTCCAGAGTGGCAGCACTCAAAAGGTACACTACATCCAACCTGGTCCCCACCTCAGCTTTCTCCCTCTCTCACACAAAGATAACATTGTATAAAACTGTATTTAAGGAAAACCAGTTAAACATCAAGAGTGTGTACAAAAGTAGACAAGAGGGTTAGAAATATCAATTGGGGAAAAGCTTTATCAATATCAAAACAATATCAATGCAGGTAAAAACAATAATTCCTGCTCTGGTTACTTTGTGAGTTTGTTGGGAGGATCGAATGAGATTACAAAAGTGAAATTGCTTGGCAGGAGCTGCCTTAGTGCTTGCTACATGCTCCGTAACCTCAGTCTGTCCCTATGACTTGTAACACCTGTGAAAATCTCCATGCTCAAGCTGACTACTGCCTCCCATCATCAGCACCACCATCATCAACCAAACATTAAAATAGAGTGTGGTATGTGGCAACCACGGTGGCCTTGGGGTTCAGAAGACCTCAGGGACTATTTTAGATGTTTGACCTTAGACAAATCTGCAAAGCTCTCTGGGCTTGTTTCTCATCTGTAAAGTAAAACTGATAATATTTCTATCATTGTTGTTACGAAGCAAGTCAGCGAATGTACATGAAAGCAAACTGTCAATCTCCCTATTAAATGTAATCCGTTATTATTATTCATTTCTTAAAGAAACACATTCGAACTCCTACTATATATCAAGTACTTTTCTAGGTTCTGAGAATAAGGCTGTGAACAAATTAAAGCTTATCGTTTCATTGAGCTTACCGTCCAGTTGAGGATAATAAGAAAATAAGTAAAATTGACCGGTAGTGATAAACCTTAAGAAAAAGAACCCAGCAGTTAAATATATGTAAAGTAAAAAGGATGCCATTGTAAATAGCACAGTCGGGGAAAGTCACTCTGATGAGGGGAACAGACTGGAATGAAGACGGGAGCAGCCATGCACCGCCGTGGGGAGGTGCATTCTAAGCAGAGAACAGCCAGCACAAAGGTGCTGAGCTGGGAGCATGCTTGAGGTGTTTGAGGCACAGAGGCAGGCCTCTGTGGCTGGAACAGCACTGTGCTGGGCACTGGTACTGCAAAGAAAACAAAACATGGCACTTGACATAATATGGGCTAGCACACTTATGACTAGGGCGAAATGGGCCATAAAGGCCTTAGATAAGTGAAACTGGTAATAGGAACAAAAGCACAGAGGCAGGAGTGATCACAAAAACAACGGTATCAGCAACGAATAGCATTTACTACGTGCTAGATGCTGCCCCATGCACTTTTTACCTATAGTATTTCATGAAATTCTTACACAGCTTTATTGTCCCCACTTAACGAATGAGGAAACGGAGTTAAGTTATTTAAGGTGCCTGAGGCCACAAGACTGGTAAGGCAGGAGTTGGGCTCGGGTTGCCTGACTGTCCTTGTTCTACGGTGTGATCCCATACCCACTGCACTAATGTGCATTATGCAGTTAAAGAACATGGACAGTTCAGACTGGAGAAAGAGAAGAGAGCAGGAGGGGAAACAACCAGAGAAAGAGGGCAAATTAAAGAAGGCTACGAGGGAGCCACTCCACATTTTCAACAGTCAGTAGCAGATGAGAAGAGGTATTTTAGGAAGGTTAGCAGGGTGACAGATGAGGGAGAAAAAGAAAGGAGAAAATGAGGACAGGTGCAGTCATCCAGGTGTAAGGTGACTAGGGCCAGGTCTAGACCAGGGCCAAGAGGGATTAAATGAGATTATGGAGGTGGAGAACCAACTGGATATTCAGACACCATCTTCTGAAAACCTCAGATAACTTGCATGGTGACTGTTTTTGGCAACGTCCCTTTTAGGATATAAGCCTAACACTGGTTACCATTGCTTACAGTCCTCAGATCTTTCAGCTCTTTAAGAGTTAATATTGCTAACCTTACCTCCCAACCTATTGGCTTAAGAGTGTCATTCAAGTTGTCCCTCCCAAATTCAGCTTACAGTTTTAGCTAAAGGGTCTAGAAAGCCACCTCCTACTGACTTCTTCATTTTGACATTATTTCAAACAGATATGGCATTCGGGCGTTTCAGTCGCAGAATTTATTACCACTGGAAATTCTGGAGGATTAGGTAAATGCAAGTTTTCAAACCTATGATTCCAAAAATAGGACAAGAATCTTCATCTTATTGTATTTT